AGCCACCACCCCCTCCCCCCTCCCCCACATGCCTGCCTGCCACAAGCCTGGCAGAAAAGCTGATTATCTATCAGTGTTTATCCAAAAAGCTCTAATTTCAGAAATCCTGGTCATGCTGACACGGCTCCAGATGCTTACACTCCAGATGTGTGGGGGCGTCATTCTACTCATTTGACTGGCACCAACACAGCTCTGCAGAAGGATCTGGTCTACTCTGCTGTAATATACAACTGGATGCCAGGAGTGTGTCCCAAACCATAACCGAGGCTAATTTTAATCAATGACGGTTAGTGGCATTGCCAGTTCAGTTCTGCGGGGAAGTTGGTAGAGGGCCAGCTATTTTGGTTGCACTTGTCATACTTCACCAGGACCAAAGAAAGATCAATTTTCCTCTATAAGTGACAGCTTTTGTTTAATCTTTTAAAATAAATTAATAAATAAATTCTTACATTCTTTCTAAGAATAAAAACTCATTCTCTTTCTATTTCTTTATTGGATGTAGATGTAGTGCTGATCTTGAAAGAGGGCATTTCCATTGCTAAGCCCATCTGTTTTCCTAGCATGCAGTTCTGTACCACTGTGCTAAAGTGGAAGTCCTGAGATACTGTAATCTAGACACCCCAGCACCAACACATGGAACCTTTTAAGTTATACCAAACAATTTATTAGAAAAGTATGGAAAAGCAACAACAACAAGTCTATCTGGAGAGTTATATGCCTTATTTAACCTATTGTTAGCAGCGCCTTAATTAAATATATTATTTTTTTGCTGTTATTGTTGCTACCTAGTCCTCATGTTATACAGAGCAATCTAGACACCCCAGCACCAACACATGGAACCTTTTAAGTTATACCAAACAATTTATTAGAAAAGTATGGAAAAGCAACAACAACAAGTCTATCTGGAGAGTTATATGCCTTATTTAACCTATTGTTAGCAGCGCCTTAATTAAATATATTATTTTTTTGCTGTTATTGTTGCTACCTAGTCCTCATGTTACACAGAGCCAACAAACAAATACCCTGTTTCCCCAAAAATAAGACCTAACCTGAAAATAAGCCCTAGTATGATTTTTCAGGAAGCTCATAATATGAGCCTTACCCCAAAAATAGGCCCCAGTTTAGTGAAACCCTGCTCTCCACCATTGTGCAGCAACCAGACGAAGATGACATGACTGTATTTCAACCAATGTAGATTGTTGTACATGAGAAAAATAAAACATCCCCTGAAAATAAGCCCTAATGCTTTTTTTTTCGAGCAAAAATTAATATAAGATCCTGTCTTATTTTCGGGGAAACACGGTACACTGATTTATACATGCTCCTCTAGTATGCTATTGTGGTTAGTGGTATATGTAATGTCCTTCTTTCTAACCTGACAGTTTTTCCCAGTTCCATTAATTCAAAGTCACGGTACACTGATTTATACATGCTCCTCTAATATGCTATTGTGGTATATGTAATGTCCTTCTTTCTAACTTAACAGTTTTTCCAGTTCCATTAATTCAAAGTTTTTACTTGGACATACCACTTGGATACTGTCCAAATAAAACACCAGTGCATTTGTTCATATAACGGTGGTGTATTCCAGCATTCTATAGGAGCACAGGGCAACTGCAGAAGGGGGTTCTGTGTCCAGAATTCCACTTTCTAAGGATCAATCTCAGCTACAAGCTTGCTCTCAGATGTCTAAGATATGCCTGAAAACATTCAGTCAAGTTCTGGTAAAATCTCAAAAGCCAGAGGGAAGGATGACTGAACATGATTCCCAGTGACAAAGGGGTTCATGCCTTGCTTTTCCTGCCTGCATGACTAGGAAAAGTGAAATATATGTCAAGTAATACAAAATAAATGTAAGTGCTTGATCTGCCTAATGTGTGTACAGGCTGCAGAATTCATTTTCCCTTGCAAAGGATGCTAGCTAACATGTTCAATGGGGACTATACCCAGATCTCTGTATGGATGAGAGAAGGGCAGCATCCATCCCACGCCACCCCCCAGCCTTAGCAAGCTGGATCTTCTTAACTTACCCGCCTACATCTGGTTTGCAAAGGAAGTGGGCCCGCCTTGGACATAGCTGCCTTGCTGGCCGTAGTCTCCCTGCTGCCCATAGCCTTGCTGGCTGTAATCTGGCTGGTAGCCACCCTGCTGCCCATACGAGTCCTGCTGTCCATAGCCTGGGGCTTGGTTGTAGGCATCGCCATAGGTATCAGGTGCGGGTTGCTTCTCCTGGGGAGGTGGGTACTTCATGAAGGGGGCACTCCAGCCTGTCTCTTTAAACACGAACCACAGGTTCCCCAGCCAAAGCACTAAGTTCAGGAAGCCAAAGACCTGGATTCCAGAGGGAGGTGGGAGAAAAAGACAAAGGGAAGAAAGAATTAGTTACGTGTAGAGTGTGGTGTTTTCCCAAACTGGGGCATTCTTGTCTTGTGGAGGAAAAGGAGAAAAATCTGCAGGTAAAGTAACTGAGTTTTCAAAGCAGTTGGGACCATGTTGGTGGTGTATTTTCTATATGACTGCAGTCATTTGCAAGGAGAAGGAACTGCTGGCATGAAGAGCTTCTGTATGTGGAGAAGGAGGCAACACAAAGGTCACCTCCTCAACCCATTCCTCCAGCATGAACTCTGCTGCGTGCTCGTCTATATCCAACCCCCAGGTTTTAAGATGCCATGTATGGCTTCATGGGCAATAAATTCCAAACGACAATGTGGTTGTGTCTTCCAGGACTGAGAAGAAGTCCTTTTTTGGATTTGGAGGCCATGAACACACCAAAAAGGAAACATAAAAACATTATGAAAGAGAAGCTAGCACAGAAAACATGAAAAAGTAAAGTAGCGAAGTACATAGAAAGATTAACCTTAGATACATCCCTTCTGCTTGTTGAAAGCTGCTGGAGAGGGGTGGGTGGCTGGCTCCTGGAATCATTAAGTCTGCAGTGTTTTCCTGTCATCTAGGCCTAAGCTGAGGTTCAAGGTTAACTGCCTGGTGATAATAGAGTATTCCAAAGGGACATATCTTAAATATGTTTACACTTAGTTTTTTTGGTTTCTGCATTTTGCCAGTTATTGAGATATAAACATAGAGAACTTGGCTTAGAGGAGTATAGATATCTTTAGCAAGCAGGTACACAATCAATTACTGTATAGTATTAAAACACAATGGATAAAATCCAGAAAAGTTACACTGCATATGGCTGTTAACATAATTGGCCATGGCAGTTTTTAAGGAATTGAAGAGTTTCCAATTAACCCTCAATCACCAAAAGGTCCCAATACTCCTTTGGGATCCCTTTATTCTTTAAGATGCTATTGGGGCCTGGGGGGTGGAGTTTTTCATTTTTTAAAGTTGCTGCTGGGGGGGGACGATTTGACTGGTGATTTGGTAATTCTTAAAAACTGGAAAAAACAACATACAAAGGAGAATATGAATAAAATGTGCCACATATGGAGAGAAAGGCCTTTGCTCATTTGTTTCCTTGCACAATGATACAATAACAATTTCCTCGCCCCAAACAAGAAACATAACCCACTTCACACTCGTTCCTCTGATAAGATATTCTTGCAATTAAAATTGGCTTCACTGATTATTCAGTTAAAGTATTAAAAAGATTAATGCAAGACGACAAATTAATGCTGTAGTCCTCTGCGCATTTATTTGGGAATCACAGAACTGTAGAGCTGGAAGGGATTCCTCAGGGTCAACTGAGTCCAGTGCCCTACAGAAGCAAGAAATCCGCCAGTAGAACTACCTTGACAGGTGACCTCTGATGAAGGAGAATCCACCAACTCCCAAGACAATCTGGTCCACTGTTGAAGAGCTCTTTCTGTCAGGAAGTTCTTGCTCATGTTTAGTCAAAATCACCACTCTTGTAATTTGGATCCGTGATTTTGAGTCCTGTCCTCTGGAGTTGGACAAAACAGGCCTGCTCTGTCTTCCACAGGTCAGCCCCTTCAGATATTTGAAGAGAGCTATCATGTCAGCTCTCAGTCTTCTTAAGACCATGCTGAATTCCCTCAACGATTCACCACAGGGCTTAATTTCCAGTCGTTTTACTCTCTGGGTGACCCTCTTCTGGATATGTTCCAGCTAGTCAAGATCCCTCTTAAACTGTGGTGCTGAGAACTGGACACAGCATTCCAGAAGAGATCTGGCCATGGCAGATTAGAGTAGTACTATTACTTCCCTTGATCTGGACATTATCTTTCTATTGATGCAGCCTGGTATGCCATTGGCTTTGTTTGCTGCCACGCCACACTGTTAACTCATGTTCAGCTTGTGGTTTACTTACTGTATTTGTACATTTCATTTTTTTCCCCACTTAAGTGAAGGACTTTGTATTTTTCCTTGGTTGAAACTCGTTTTTGTTTCTTTTGCCCCAGTAAGCCTCCTTCTGCGTAAATGTGAATTATTTGTAACCCTAAGTAATTCCAAATTCTGCATGAACACACAAAAACTAGAGGAAGCAGATATATGCAGGAACACACCTTCACACATACCATGAAAAACACACACATGTGCATATCTACAGTAGGACAGATCAATTGCAGACATTACCAAATGTATACTTAAAATGCACACATATCATGTCACCACCTGCATGCAATGTTGCCCCCTTATAGTACAGGTGGAGGACTAACCACAGAGGTGTTGAGGCCAGAGGTGACCGGTTCCCGTATCTCCTTGCACTTGACATTTGCTTCTCTGCACGCAGTCACACTTTTGATCACACTGTCTGGGTCAGTGGCTTCCTTGACATCCGAAAGCCCCTTGGCCCAAGCGCTGGAGCTCACCAGCCACATGAAGGCAAAAACAGCTGTGACGACAAAATCCTGGAGCGAAGATAAGGCAAAGATTAATTACATCTAAAAGATTAAAGGGGGAGGGGTCTTCAAGAAAACCTACTGACTCTGTGCTCAGACCTGAACCAGGAGATAAGGAAGAGGAGGAACAGCAGGGCCAGTCCTGCCACGAGACAGAAATCTGAGATGAATAGTATATGCCCTGGTAATCTCCTGTTTAGACTACTGCAATGCACTCTACTTGGGGCTATCCTTGAAGATGACATGGCTGCTGATGCAAGTACACTATGCAGCAGCTAGACAGAGGACAGGAACATCTTTCAAAACCAGCATGACACTGATTCTGAAGGATTTGCACTGGCTGCCAATATGCTTCTAGTTTGAGTTCAAGTTATTATTGACAATGACTTGCAAAGCCCTATCCAGCTTGGTACCTCGATATCTGAAGGCACACTTCTCCCTATACACACCTGCCAGATCAGTAAGATCTGCTGGAGAGGCCCTCCTCCATGTCCCACCACAGAGAACTGTTCATTATGTGGAGACATGAGGAAGGGCCTTCTCACTTGTAGCACCCCAGCTGTAAAATCCTCTCCTCTTGGAGGCTTGGCTGACATTGATCTTGGCCTCATTTTGGTGCCAAATCAAATGGCCTTGAACGTTTTAATTTTCAGTCATTTTAAACTGCTTTAAAGGTTGTGTTTTTGAATTGTTTTATACAGATCTGTAACCCACCCTGGTATCTTGATATAGGGCAGGCTATAAATAAATAA